GGCTGGGGAAGGACATATCTGGAGAAACTCAAGTTCCTTCCTCTCCACATCATCATAAGCATTAGCAGGAACTTACCAGCTATTTCTACACCCATTTATTCCACTGAAGGGTTGCCTACCTATTAACTTTCTAAAGAGCAACTGAAAGTCATGTCTTCTGCCTAGATATGAGTCCAAAGATGCTTTGTGGGGCAAATGGACCAAATGCTCTACAGCAGCCTGCAATTACTAACAAAAAATGAACAAAAAAAAACCCTAAGTGTTACTAACTAGAGAGAGCACACAAGAATGCTGCTACAAGGCAGTATCCATGACTAGTAAACAGCACTTTATATAAAGCTTCACATATGGGATAAAAGCCAGCACAGCTTGAAACAAAGCTCCGCAAGCAGCATTCAGACCTCTATGCCTGTATGCTCTCCAATTGCACCTCTCCTCTCTCCAGGAACACCCTTATTTATGCATCTCCAAAACAAACAGCGGTTCTGCTACAGACTTCCACATATATAAATCCTTAAAATCAAGACTCAGGGCAGTAAGACCATCAGACGTAGGATGCATGAACGCAGGTAACGGTTGGCAGACCTGCGGAAACTGAAGATTTGTGCACATCCAGGGGTATCTGAAAGTTATGTGCCTTGTCGGTAGGAAAAGTCACAGCAAACTTCTATGCAAGGGACAAAATAAGTGTTAAAATATTGAGCTAGGAGTAAGGCCAGGCTGTATTTCTCCTCCTGTAATAAATCAACACTGTATGTATATATTAAATCCAATCCCTTGATGTGTCCAGTTACAGTGATAAAAACTTAGCAAGCAGGGCAAAAGTTATTGGGTGGAGATCGATATGCTTGCTTGTTGTCCTTCATTGGCAATAATGCGACGTTTTCTCCTTGACTGTAAGAGGCGCTTTTGTGATTTGGGAGCATAAAGAAATTCTGTACTTGACAGATTTATATAGGAGGAATACGCTAATGTCCTTTGACCCGCTTACGAATAAATACGACCTACCAAATTGTCATTTTTATGGGTATTTACAACTGAGGCACTTTGTAAACCTAAGAACTAATATTTCCCAAAGGAAATCTGTGCTCTCGAATCTTGATAAATTATTGAAAAATACAAGCCACTACCAGCCCTACAAATTTTCTCTTCTATTTTTCCTATTTTTAGTTACATAGGAGTTGTCAACACAGATTGGACCACTGATCTATTTCACTGTGTCTGTTGCTGCAGCTATGGCTAGAGCTTCAGAGGACTCCTATAATATTTGTGGCCATTTGTCCAAGGCTGTTACAAAAAAAAAAATAATAATAAGATTGGTCGGTTGTTTTTTATTTCCCAAAACTTTGTTTTCACTGCCCAACTGAAATATCAGTCGTATAATTAAGATTTCAAATTGCTGTTAATAAGGTGTTATAAACTTATCACAGCCCAAGTGCCACTAGCTGCATCTGCTGTCGTGAATGCTTCAGTTGATACTTTACAGAGAAGAGAAACTTGCACAGGGGAGCTTGTGCAAGGAGTAAAATAAGGCAGCTCACACCAACTCCATTGCTCCCACCTCGTGGTGGCACAAGTACTCTGTTAATGTAAGGATTCATTACCAGCCAAATATACCCTCTGTTTCTTAATTCTGTAGGCCAGCTGACCCAGGAAGCTTACCCTTGATTGCTGCATCTCAGCTCCATCTAACCTAACACCCAACTGCCACACAAATTTCTTCCATCACCTTTGTAGTGTATCTGCCCAAAGGCTTTTGGAAAACACAAATTCTGCAGAAGATAGGAGGAAACTGGTGAGATAGGGGTTTTGTGCTCTTCAGAATTTTTCTGTGGAAGACAACAGAGCACAATTATACATCTGGTAGTTTGATCTTGAGGGAACCACAGGTTTTTTTTTTTTTTTTTTTTGGCAGTAAACCAATTATTAATATTTTCATCCATAGCAGAACAGTTGAAAGTTGATCACTTTTATCCTTGCTCTCCACCTGTAAGTTGAACAAAATGTTAACACTATTCAGGACAGTATCTGAGGAATGAGATAGTATTGTTTCTCCTCTTGGTTATATGTACAAATCTTCTCATAAAAATGCATTCAACGGTTCAGATTTTGACTAAAGCATCATGACGTGGCACTTATCTCTAGTTTACTCCATTTCTAAGGGCAGCTGCTTTTCTATTTTTCTTTGCGCATCTGTGGACAACAGAATCTTTTCTCTGTTACAAGAATGTCTTCATTAATTCAGTTTCTTCCTTCAGCTTATTCTTAGTCTTCTGCATACTATAATCTATGTATATGCAAGAGAAAAGCTTGAAAGGCAGAATGAAAAAGCAGGAAGCTGCCATAACCAATGAGCCAGGAAGGGCAGGAAACTTCAGCAGCTTTTCTTGTCCCTAAAGCACTGCCTCCCTCTTCATCCTTGTTTACTGTTGAATCTGGGATTCCTCCTATATTTATATGAAGCATGACTTCAGTTTCCTATGTTCTGTGACCTCATTTGGATAGTGGTAAATCATGGCATAGCTAATACAGTAGCTGCAGCACTAAGTTGATCGATTCTGAGTTTAATTACTATCTTGCACGCTTAATTTCATAGAATCATTTCAATTGGAAGGGACCCTTAAAGGCTGTCTCGTACAATTCCCCTGCAATGAACAGGGATGCCTACAGCTCCATCAGGTGCTCAGAGCCCTGTCCAGCCTGACCTTGAACATCTCCAGGGAGAGACATCAACCACATCTCAGGGCAGCCTGTTCCAGTGCTTCACCACCTTTCACCCTACTGGAAAAAAAAAAAAGCCCGTGTTTCTAATATTCAGTCTTCAATATTCAATCTCCTCTTTTGCAACTTTGAAACCATTTTCCCTTGCCCTGTCAGAACAGACCCCTCTAAAGAGTCTGCCTCCCTTCTTATAGGCCCCTACACAGCCTACAGAGGCTCTTCCAAGCAAATGCTCCATGGCAGTGGTGCATGCAGCACCTTTTACCCACATTCCCCTGCAAAATTCCATACAGAAGCTCACGGACAGAGCATTTGTTCACACAGTCAATGTATTGACAACCGTGCACAGGCTGGAGCTCCCAGAGGTAATGAAGTGTCTCCAAGATTCTGAGTGGTCACTGCCTGCATGTTAACAACTCTCTGTTGCAAGCTTTTGCACAACATCATCTTCTGTTGCACAAAGTTAGGGTCCTCAGAATGTGGTCTGGCAGTGGGTTAAATGTGTGGGAACAGTACCCACTGCATCTGCTGTATGTCCAGTAGGTCCAGTCTGGGGTCACCAGCATTGAGGAGGTGCTGGGATGTGCAGCTTCTCCACCTTGACTTGGGCAGGCACACCAAGGCAGTGGTGTGCATAACTCTTGTTTGGTCCCTGCACAGGCACAGCTGAGAGGGCCAAGGGAAGGAGAAAGTATTGTTTAAGATCTGGATTTAGGAATGCCACTTGGAAATATAAAGTTTCTTTTACAACAAACTTACGCTTTTACACCTGATGTTCTCAAACAATAAGAAGGTCTGAAATACCAGCAGGTTCATCAGCTTTTACCACCTACATTAGATTCTATCTCCCTTTACTGATAGCAAGACAAAAACAGAAGTTTCATATGCATTTTAAGATACCAAAAGGAAATCAAAGATGGGGAAGGATTCAAGATCTCTGGTTAACAGGCAAAGTGGAAGTTGCTTCTGCTCCTCCTGGTACTAATTCTAATCCACGCTTCTTTAAAAAAAAAAAATAATAATCATGTATTACACAGCTACAGCAGAATGTGTTTATTAGAAGAGGAGCACACAGGAACCAAACATTCCCTTCAAACAAGCACCATCTCTCTGCCATTTATGTCACAGATAGTAAAGTCCCCTGGAAAAAGAAATCAAAGCATAAGGCTTGCTGACCAACACTGCATTTACAATGCGAAACAATGAGAACCTGACAGTGACAGGAAAGAAGTAGTAGTTTTAGCCCAATTCAGCAAAATCGTCTGCTGACATATTGAAAGAAACCTGCCTGTTAAAAGAATCAATAGACTTTTAATCAAGGAAACTACCCTCACGCTCTTTCCCACTCTGAACTATTTAACAAGAAACATTCTTGTTTCTTTACCTTTACCTTCTAAAGCTTCAAATAATATGGAAAAGAAGCAAATCAGGTTGAGAATTGTAGCTCTTTTGCCTCTTGTGAGGGGTTTTCCTATCTGCAGAAATTTCCCCTCCTTTAAAATTATCTGTGCATCTTTTTTTACCCATCTTGAAGACTTTGGGTAAAAAGCATTTATTAGCTTCAACATTTAACTACAGATCTTCTGGCCAGACTCACGTGTCACAGCTGCCTCTGTGTTGTCTTTTCACTGCAGATCTACGTAGGCTGACAGGAAGGAGCAATGGTTTTCTAAATCCAAACAAGCATTTAAGAGTGGAAAACAATGGAGAGAAGTTCCATATCACAATTTCTTGCAGGCTCCAGTAAAAGCAGCGCTTCTTATAAAAGCAAGGAATTAATTGGATAATTTCCCCTGATATCTCTATGGAGGAAATCCAGCTCAGAACTTATTGGAAGGATTTTAAGTTCTGATAGTACTTCTGCAGCAGGGACTATAGAGTGGAGCAAGGCGGTTCAATTCCACTACGCACCATGGCACATTAGGCCACAAAAAGAATATCTCAGTCCAATTTTTCCACCCTTTCTGAACATTTAGGCTTCAAAGATTGTCATTGCAAATGCAAAAGAACAAAACAAAATAAAAACAAAACAAGGCAGTTCTGTTTCTAAGCTCAACATCTAAGTATCAGTTCTTTGTCTCTATCATGCATTCAAAGCCAGCTCCAGGATGTCATGCTTATAGAACCACACAAGCTAAAAACAATTCTCTCTCTAGTTTATAGAGTAGAAATGGCTTCAATCCCTCATACACTGCCTGGTTGTTAGGGCAAGAGTGCAGAAAATGAAGTTTCTCTAATGCAAATCTTTGCTTTTGGTGGGTTTTTTTTCTGTTTTTTTTTTTTTTTTTTTTTTTTTTTTTAGGAAAAACACACTGTCTCTAAATCTGCTCCAAAAGAAAGGAACTGCAAATTCCAAGCCTGGATTTTGCTACAGATATCATCCCTATTGCCATAATTATCCTGCTAAACTGCAGCTTTCATTTAGCAAAAGATGTCTCCCTAAGCACACATACAAACAGACATGATCCTGGAAACGTAACCCAGGTGCAAACTCATGAAGTCTTAACTGAAGAGGCTGCAAACAACCTGAAACTACAGTCAAGAGGGATAAACATCCCCATTCACTTCTCTCAAGAGAATCATGCTATGTAATAATTTGTCATGGACTTCAAGATCTTGCTACAGCCAGGTATTCTAGTTTCCTTCCCCTTTCCTGCTCTGCCACAACCAGCCTGCAAGTCCTTTATATTCTTCAGTTTTCTCTCAGCAATGAGTCTGCTACAATAGGTGCAGGAACAAGAACTGCTATAAAATGCTGTGGGCTAACTAGTACTTTCTCATGGGAGTCAGAAGTCGGATGACAAAGGTAAAGCTCAGAAGTTTAAACCCAGAATTAGGAGATAGGCTTTTTAAGCTAGTGTGACTGTCCAGAATCGCAGCTCTTCAGGTTACCCTGTAGGATAAAACACTTTGGTGTTATGAATGGAATGAGATTTATAGATTGATTTAGATCACAAAGTCTACTATTATTATCAGCAAGTTTTATATCTCTGTAACTTCACTAAAGAAATCCCATTTTTTTCTAGGTGTCTTTCCTCTACTAGAGGTAATACTAAAGGTATCACATTAATACCTTTGTATTCTTCCTTCTGGTTCACAAGTCAACAGTGAAAACCACACACAAAGTTCAGGTGGACACATCAAGGAACTGAGCTGTGAGTGGTCACTGATACACTTTCATGATCTTTCTGTTAATCACATAATGGACACAAGTACACACAGTAGCCATGAAAGAATAAAATGCATGAGAAAGAAGAGAACCATCAAGAAAGAGGCCACTATCTGACATTTTAAAAGGGCAAATCGAAAGCAATCAAAACCCAACAAAATGTTCAGTGTGGAATGAGGTGATAGCTTAGGATACACTTAGGATACAGTAATGAGGCTAAGAAGTGCTGTGTGTTTTAATGTAAATTAACACAAGATAATCTCTTCACACATTTAAGTGATGCACTTCAAATTAATTAATACATATTTAATAGAAGTCTTCTTGAACAGCTGTTATTTACTTCTGGAGTTTCTACACATTAGCGCTGCCTTCTTTGTTCTGCTCTGAAGTTATTCATGCTCCAAAGTACTTTAAGAACTCGGGCTGTATAAAAATTGAATGCTCTTCCCAAAAGAGGCAGCCTTTCTGATAACTTCATATTTTTTACATTAAACATTCAAACACTTTCCGAACAAAAGGTCAAATTCTACTTACAGCATCTGTGTGAAACAAGCAAGCAGATGCTTAATGCTGCCAGACAAATACTTTCAGCACAAAGAATGATAGAGAGCTGGTGATCAATCACATTTCCAGGCTTTCAAATCGGCTTTCCTTTGCCTGCAGTCCCTACGATTTGCACTTAGAGTTTATCTGTAATAACACAAGTCCAACTCACAGCCTGTCCTCTAAGTGTTACACAGTGTGAAATGAAGTACTGATGGTGCAAGGACTGCCTGTAGTACTGGGACGTGTTATGAGTATGACACAAATACACTAGGCTTTCCTCATACAAAGACCATGTACAGCAGTACTTCCGTGCTGCACGCGAGGTCTAAACAAAGTAGTTCTCCCTTACCTTTTAGGAATGAAAAGCCCCTCAAAGTCACAATCGCTTCTGGTTTTTAAGAAGAGAATGAGTACAAGCCAACTCAACGTGGTGGTAGCACGTATTATTTTCATACAGTAATTAATGTGACTTGTGGCAACGGCATTCCATTCCTCACATATAATTATCACTAAACAGTAATACCGCTCGTAGTTTTCACCTGACTACGTGCAAGTGTTTGCTCATGTCAGCCTTCCTAGCTTACGAATTTACTGAAAATAACTTCTGAGGTTATTAACAACAGAAAATATGTTTTGGCCCAAACACCACTACATCTTCTGTGAAACAATGAAAACTATGAAAACCCTAACAGTGCTTATCACAGAAAGGTGAAAGTGTGCTAATCTAAGCATACTGATGTCACTAAGACCTAAGTTATTTTATTTAGCATGATAATTCTCCTCAATAAAGAGGGCATAGGATGGAACTCAAACAACTTAGATGTTAAATGAGATCATTGGCTGACCTGATAAATACCTCAGAATATGCTGAGAGTGAATGAGTGTGTGGAGAAAAGAACTTAGAAAGCATTTCCGTGATCCTCAACTATTTGTGCTCTGCCTACACCAGCAGCTGGGAGAGAGAGCTGGAGGTGACTGAGGGTGACCTCACCTTCTTTTTTTTCCTTCATTGTTTTTTCCCTTAATTTTACTTCTTGCAAGTGGCTCATCCACGCATGCTCCTTTTTTTATGACAAGTAGTTTTGATGGAAGTCCAAACGCTCAGCAGATTAAATCGCCTGTGTAAATGTGGACTCAAGAAGTAGTGCCACTCACAATAAAGACGCCCCTAGAAGAATTTCTATGCACTGAAACTTTGTCAGCGTACTTACGAGGAAAATGGAGATAAGCAGAAGAATGCCAAGGCTGCCATAGGGGCTAAACAATCGCTTCTCTAGAGGTCAGCTCACCACAGTTATTTGTCTGCTTTTGATGGGAGGCATGTGGGAGACAGGCTAGTCCAGAAAAAAGGAACCTGAGGAAAAGATAATCTCATGCTGTGATGTTTTGGAATCACTATTCTATTAATGAAGCTATGATTCCTGAAAATCTCTTTTGCCTTTTGAAGGAGGATGTATGTTTTGTTCAGAGAAGCATGGGAGCTCTGCCAGCTGACAGAAAAAAGCCATACATTTGTATGCTTGCTTTGATATGTACAATATAACTTGCATAAGCACTGGCAGAATCCTGATGCATAGATGTCAAGGAAAGAGAGAGATCCCAGAGGGCAAATGTAGCTCACAGTCCCAAGGAATGAAAACATATGTCCACAGTTTATACAGCTGTGACACAACAGGTATCCTTTGTTGTTGTTGTTGTTTCTAAAAAACTTCCTTAGAGCTAAAAGATCAAATTCAAGGGGAGTCTTACAGTATACAGTTAGTCTGTCACATTTTCTCTCTACGTTTTACAGCAAAAAATGAAAATCTGTGTTTACCTGTCAGTTCTGGTAGAAATGATTCCATCATAATTACACCTTGTGTGCTGGAAGGAACCTGGCAGTTTGTAATGTCACTAATGCTAGTCTGAAGCAGTACAAAGTTGAAGGAGCTTGCTGAAAAATAAGACTTTATTAAAATTTCCAATTTTTTGGAAAGCATTTTGACTAAATTCCAACACTACTTAAAATGTAATTAAATATTTACATTTATTCCCTAATAAGTATTGTAGGTAAATCAATTTCCCAATTATCTTAAATTTTTGTATGGTATACAATTACTACATTTTTGTAATAAATGCACAATTCTAATGAAAAAATAATGATCTTGAACTTTAATAGAGCCCTTCATTTGAGGAGATGAAAGTGCTGTACGTTCATCCATTCATTATGTCTTACAACCCCCCTGTGATGTAGGTACTATTATCATCATTTTACAGATGGGGAAACTGAAAGGCTAATTAACTTGTCCAATTTACAATACTGTTAGCTGTAAACTTAGGGTGTCCTATTGTATTAACATGCAAAACAAAACTCAGCTCATCCTGCAATCCGTAAGCACTTTACTTATAGGAGAGAATATGCTACACACATTTGGAGAGCTGGTTTTGTCTTGGCAATGGCTGTGAGTGCCACAGAAACACACGGTCTAGAAACAAAGACCATAGCACCAGCTCATTGTAAAGTGCCACCATGTTCCACAGCTAGTTGCAGAGATGATGTGCGTTTTCATTTAAAGTTATCAGCCATTCAAGTGCACATTTGTGCTCTAATTCTGTATGATATATCACACTGCATTTATGTACACAAACAGGGAAATAGTGCTTGCTGACTAACTCATTCTCTCAGTTTACTTATGTGCTCCATAAATTTCTTCACTCGGTCAGGATCAACACCATTCACCCAATAACCTTCTCTCTTGAAATACGAACCAATTATTAGAGCATTTGCATCCAAGTAATTCTTCACATTCTCCAGAGTAACTCCAGATCCAATCAAAACAGGAATCTTCACAGCATGTTGAACCTCTGAAGTGGGGGAAAAAAAAAAAATTAGGATTAAATCCTCTGAGATTTAAATCCATCTTTAAAATTCCGTAAAAACGATGTGCTCTAACTTATGCAGAGTTTCAACAGCAAAGGAAGGTAAGTCTTAAGAAATTTGTAAGCATGCATCTCTTACTTTTACAATAGTGATACAGACGTTCTAGATGAAGAAACCCAACACTTTTAGCTCTCAATAACTGTTGAGAAAATCCCACTTTCAAAGAATATCCTGAGTTGGAAGGGACCCATGAGCATCGTCAAGTCCAACATAACATTCCTGATCACATGTCAGAGGACTGTTTCAGCACTACAGAGCACATGAAAGCTGCATCTCAACACTGAACACGTACATTCCTTTCTCTCCCCCCTCCCACCCTCCAAGAAAAAAGATTCAAGTAAGATTAAGGAAAATTGGTTGGCTGAGAGTGCAGTGCATTTTACTGTATTCCATTGCATTCCTTTTTATTTCTTGTCCCCGGTAAGAAGAGATGTTGGATTGAGGAAGCTTTTGCAAAGCAGAAACTATCCCAACTACTTAACATGTCTGTTTGCCATTGTGCTTGGAGGCTCAATGCACTTGAGGTACTACACATAGACTGAAAACAGCAATCATTTAATATTGCACTGCAGTAGCATGTAGGATAGATACCATTTCCCCCCAGTCTTTCTATGAAGTAATCAGAACACAGCTACAAGAATAAGATGAAATTCTTGTTTCCATTTATTATACCAGCTCAGACTTTTGCGAGTCTGGTGAGATCATTAAAAGTGGCAGAACTATTCAGTAGAGCTGTGCTCATTACAATTCTTCAGTCATCAGTTTAAATCACAATAATGGTAGTTAGACTGGTGTATATTTCTGCCAGGTTTCTGCTGAATTTATGCTATGTTGACAACTAGCAGAAGTTCTTCACTGAAGAAACAAAAAAGGCCTTATTCACAGGGAAAGAAAAATGAACATGCTCTCTGCTTCTTGCTAAGTTTCAGGGTCATGAAAGTAGGAGACCAAGCAGCAATAGGCTACATTGATACCTCCAGCTAGCTCACCAGAACACAAAAGATGGCACAGATACGCCTCTTCTTTCTATAAATGGCAATGAAATGAAAAAGACATTTTTCTGCATTCAGCAGGTGCTACTGTTTTGGCCATAGAAAGGCTCTCCGTGGACACATAAAAGTTCATTAGAGTATTTTCTTCAGAACTCAACCCAGTACTAGCTCTGGGAAAAATAAATAAATAAAAGAATTGAATTACTGGGCTAGAATTACTGGGCATCCTGCTCATCCTTTCATTTTGAACTGACCATCCTAAGAGTCAGTCAAGACTGGACGCTTCTTCCCTTGCATCCTGAGAATGCTGCAGAGCATTATTTCTGATCTTTAAAAAGATATAAATTGCTTTAATTGTTGCTAATAAGCTGACGTAAGATGGTTAAAGCTCGAGGGAACTAGGGACAGTATATATGTAACAAAAAAAAGTCTGCTTCAAAACACTGTTTATTTAAATAAAGTTTCATCAGAAGCCTAGATTATTAATGATGCTTCAGGGAAAAATAATTATGTGTCACCTTCCTACTTCACCAGAGAAAGGGGATCAATTAAAATGCTCTTGAATATCTTTCTAGGTCTCATACCATACCATTTTCCCACTTAGGAACAGTAACTGCTTCTTACAAAAAAATTTTTAACATAAAAGAAGAAAATCCACACAACCCCTATTGAAAATTTTAAGCAAAGCAAGATAGCGCATATATGATTAAAATGATGCCTATTTCTTCACATATCTTATATTTCTAAATTCATCCTCCTTACAGCAATGAAATAATTCATTTTCTGTTATTTATAACATTATTAATGAAATCCTGTTCTAGAAAAAAATAGAATTCTATGTATATAGTATCTCTGTGCTCTTTGAAATATTCAATCTGATCTATGTACATACCAATGCATAATTAAGGTGCTACAACTGACCACAGATTCGTAAAACATCTTTACTGCATTCCCAGAGGAACAACATTCCAAGTCAATATTTGTTTTTAAGACAAATGCATAAGGTACATTAGTAGGCAGTTGCTCTACAATTATTTCACATCAGCAGGAAAAATGAAGAGCCAAATAATTAAACAGAGCATGATCCCATGGGTGTATGACAATAGTTCTGCCCTAACAAAGACTTGAACAGCAGAACCTAAGACTGCTGCGAAACTGTAAGAAGATAACTAAATGATGAAGCTTTCAAAAGTAGCAAGGTATGCAGCTCCTGCTGTGATCCATGCATGACACATGCAGCCCACACACAACTCTTGTGCTGGAGATTTATTCAGACTGTCAATGTGAAGAACAGGAATGGGAGTGCCCACCATACAATGAGACTGGGTTATCTAATTAAACATGCTACAGATACTACTTTTAAGTCGTTTCCAAGCATATCAAGGCCTACAGTTGATGAATAGAATATGACTTGTCTACCGGCTGTGTTAATACAAATTCTAACTTGTAAAAGAAAATAAAGCAACAGTGGTGAGATATGCTTCCGCATGGTGACGTTCAGTCACTGTCAAAATGTCTCTAAACACAGAGCCTTGTTTAAAGACTCCTTCAGCTTTCTTCTCCTGATTATATTGTTTGATGCAAACAGGAAGGGAAACAATTTTCTGATGTTAAAATAACAAGATCCTGAAGTTTACAGAACTCACACATTTTTCTATATCAATAAACTGTAACTAGAGGGCACTGTGCTCTTTCTTCTGACAGTGCATCTGCAGATATGTCTTCAATAAAATCAAATGAAATAGCACTTGGTTGCAGAGCACAATGAAAGCATTTGAACTACGGTGTGCACAAGTTACATGAAATAAAGGCCAAATGCTCCTAGCTTGAAAACAATGGCAAAGAGCGGCGTAAAAATAAGTACCACTGTGCTAATAACTTGCTCCACTACTCTTCTTTAACAGCTTTTTCATATGCAGTAATCACTGTACCATACACAACACTATGTTTATGGTAATGTTCCACTGTAACCCATTTTAGTTTTTTAATTCAAAGGACTTTTTCTCTGTCATTAAATTTCGGGATTATGAAAAGTACAGACCAGAGACTTGCATCTCCTGATTATCTATAGGAGGGTACTGCAAAGGCAGCAGCCTTTATTTTGACCTAAACAGTCCATTAAAAGGCAGGAGAATGAATCAGTTTTGACACCCCTTCTATGCACACTAACAGATGAGGTAACGGAGCCAGCTGCTGGGCTTTGTGATATTTTCCACCAGTTGCTCAGCTGAGGCCATTTACTTTGTTCATAAAGATACCTAGGCAGTCCTTATGCAAAGGCTGTGGTCACTCAAATCACAAGCTGGATTTCAACCAGGTACTTCAGCATTTTCCCAGCGGGAAAACCTGACAGCGTGTGGCTGGGAGTAGCACCACAGGTGCCTTCAGGAAGGCAGTGAAAGAAACTACAAACAAAACCCTGCCGAACACATTTCTCTGGCTTGACAGAGAAACACTCATTTCCCACATGCCATCACAAGTCAGTCAATTCAACACACAGACACAAAGGCAAAAACACTTCTATATTACTGCACAACAAAGCGGAGAGAAAAAAAACGTGACAAAACCTCATCTGTCTCTTGGTTTGTCGTTCAAGAGTTGCTTTGCAGCATGATGAAAGGTGCCCAGCTGTATGATCACAGTACGACTCATCCGGTGCTGCATACATTCGTGAACTGCTGAATTTCACTCACATCACACCAACTTTGTACAAGTGATTCCTTTTAAGAATATACTGACATAGATATGCCTAATTTGTCATTTCCTCACACTACTGAGTGTTGATTTTTAAGCTCTTCTCTTAACTGTGTTAAGCCACTGTTCTCCTGAGTGGTGCAGATAATGCCTGAATTCTGTGGCCTAAGTAAACCAAACCCATGATCCAGGTTCTTGCCTTCACTACACATGTAAAAAATCGATGTGTGCACATCATTACTGCTGACGACTCTGATTCATTTTGTTCCTTGGACTCAGAAAAGGAACAAGGCTGTGACTGGCACACTGGTTCACATGCAGGAAAGGCAGTGGTGAGGCCTGCTTGGAGTCCTGCCTGAGAGCAGCCTGCGGGCCTGCAGCTCATCTGGTGCCCTCCAGTGCAGGGCATGAGAGGAGGCCGTACATGCATGCTGGAAAGCAGAACTTAAGCTACTATTCTGCCCCGAGATTTGTCAGCTTTTATTTACTTATTTTAATGTAATGTGCACTGAGAAATAGGGATATACAGTGGTATGCATTTCAGGCAGAGGTGGATCTTTAGATTAACAATACTTTGCAGTCTCTTTCGGTCTTTTTCTCTTGCAGCCTTTCAGGGTGCTTTGTTCTATGAATCACTTCCAGTTCACCTTATCAAACACTCAAACAAATTCAAGAGCTCTGTATTCACTACAAACCACCACTTTCATTTTAACATTGGTGACTGAAGTATAGTCATCTATCACCTGTTCTTTGGCAAAAAAGTTGTGTTGTAAACACATGTGAAATAAGCAAAACATTTTGACAAGTTCAGCATTCATTCTGAATGCTGATGAGCACGTACAATATGGATAAAGCCCTGAAAACATGCAATGATTTTAAATTATTCCAAGAGATGTTTGGGGTGCTGGTCTCCATACCAAGTAGAGCATGTTATTCACCTCCTTCTTTTGTAAAATAAAGAAGGAATTGTGATTGAATGGTTTAGAGAAGAATATACTTTAAAAAAGTAGAGATCATACTGCTATTTTTCTTTATGAAAAATATATTTTGCCAAAAGGTACTATCATTTAACTTCGACCAAACATGCAATAATTATTTCTGCATTTTGATCCCCCAGTAGGACAGCAACTTGAAACAAAAATTGTTCATAGAAGTCCAATAGAGCTTTTGATTTGTCTATACAAGAAGTGATACTTCCTTTGGCTTCATTTCAGCAAGCATGTTTTAAGAATTCGAGGTTAGACAAATAGACATACTTTGATGCACATTCACTGAGCTTAGAGTTCACCTTGATAGACTGAGCTGAACACACTGGCACTTCAAAATACGCCAGATTGTTTTGTGCCAGCAGAAGTAAAACCTAGAAACTACACATTCTATTTTATGTAGACAAGCCTTGACATTCAAGCCATGAAACTGAATTGAAATTTAGTGATGAAAATTTGAATTTTCATGATAGCATGTGAACTACCAAATTTGATGACTTTGATGTCATATCTTCCTTTGTACCAACAAACTTAACAATTTTTTTTAAAAAACCTTCTAAGTTTTCCCTGCTATTACTGTCTGGAACGGTGCCATATCATAATAACCCTTTTCTTGCAGGACTTTCATTTTCTTTCCGAAAAATATAAATCTTTTCACTGAAGAGTTGAGCACTTTTAGCTAGCTATTTCTATTAGGTCTATGAAATTGCTTTTTCTTATACTAAGATATTAAAAAGTATCAATTTCTAAAACAAAGTCTTCACATTCATTTGCTTTGTTTATTTTAAAGTAATACTAAGTATCATTCAGTATTATAAAGGCTTGAAATAACTTATGTCCCATCAAACAGTTGGTTAGAAACGTAAAACAGACAATCCACATAGAACCTCAGTCACATCAGTTTTGCTTTATCTAGTCAAACTCTGCAATGAAAGAACATTTTTCTCCCTTTTTTTTTCTCCTTAAGGAACAGCACATACAGAGATGTATAGCCAGAAGCTGACTCAGGGCCTGCTGCATGCTCCTGGTGTGTCCACTCACCTCTCAGCTCCCCAGGGTCTGCAGGCAGCCCGGTTGCCGTACCAGTCAGTACCACCCCATCAGCCAGGAAGAGCTCAGCAGCAGAGGCGGTCTCAGCCACGCTGACATCTGCCGTCAGGGCATGAGCACTGTCAACAGCACAACGTACCCCGTGGTTACTTTCAGCACACACATATTGATCAATGTTTATTTGGGCATTTCTTCATTTTCCTCACTATCAGAACACCGAAAATCAGGCTTTGTGAGAGAGAAGGTAAGGGTCCCGCTTTAAAATGGGAAATAACTTTACAATACCAACAAGGGGAAAGAATCATAGAATCATAGAATCATAGAGACCCAACCTTATCCATCTCAGAGCTATAACTGCTCAATCCACTGCTCTTGGTCTTCTGTCTCTAAAGAGCGATTGCTAAGGGTGAACTACCAAGTGTCAATTCAGACAGCTGTGTGCATGTCGAGCACTTGTATCTCACACACAGCTCTCTGACTTCAAGTGGGAGCAGCGGATGGCTCAGTCATTCATAAATCACGTTCTGTTACCTAGAATGAAATTAACATCCTTCACTTCATTTCACAAAGTCCAACTAACAGAAGTATAGTTATTACCTATAACATAATCACAGGAATCACCTTACATGGCAATTACAAACATAAATTACCTGCAGCCTAGCTTTTCAACAGCAGCTTTTGATATATGGGTGATATGCTTTGAAACCTACAGCAATAGTAATTTAATTTAAACAATTCTAAAGTTTGAAAGGGTTTAGAACTTCTTTGCTAGTTCAGCATCTGACTTTGCTTTCTGCTTAATTGAAAATGCAGAAGCAACAACAGCTATGGTCAACCCATTGCACTGATGAGGTGTGACAGTCTTCCTCTTTCCTGGGTCAGTGTGGATGGACTTGGATCCCTACAGTAAGAGGCAGAATGCACTGACTGCAGTGCTTTTCACTAGTGATGATGGTGCAAGACAAAGCATTCCCTTTATATAGCTGGAGGAAGGCAGGCCTAAGTCCCTAATACATAAAATGAGTTGGAAATGTGGCTCTTAACATCGTTTCAGCTTTGGAATCTCCTTGTAGCAAAAACCTTCCACTTTAAAAAGCAAATCCTTTCACCTACAAAGTATAATCGAAATATAAGTCTATCAACTGAGAAGACAAAGGAAAGACCACATGATACAATCATCAATTTTTATGAAGAAGTCTAATGTAGTGTCTTTTACATATATACACACATATATATAAAAGAATTTAAGTCATTAGAAATAAACCAATCTGAAAGGACCTTAAAAGTTTAATGTTATCATAATGCATTGTTTCTTTACCTATCTTGAAAGTTATTTAAAAAAAACACCACCACAAAAACACAGATATTTATGATCTTCCCAACATGGTTGTTTTCATGATTACCTACATACTACATGCAAACATTTTAATTAGGTTATTTAGCATGTATAATACATAACACTTGAGCAGTTCTTCAGGAAAAAAAGGTGACATATAAATAGCTAAAAATACTGTGTGACAGTTAAGATATCAGCAAAAAAGAAACTGGGTTCATCTGTCAAAAGTTCCTTCTGTTTGATAATCATAGAACATAATCCGTACATAGACAGCACTGATTTAAGTGGAAGAAAGCAGTACTATTGGCAGCCAGGAGAAAAAAGAGAACAGCTTTCTAAAGCACCAGAATATTATGATTTGGATCCTTTGTACATGGAAACTGCTGCATTACTAAAAATAACCTTGGATGCTTAGCCTCCCGAAACATAATTTCTTTAAGCGTAATAGGCATATAAGGATGTAAAACCTCACCTGACACCAGATGTGAGACATTTACAGTCTGCATTTATAAATCCTGAAGGTTAAACTACAAACTTCACAGATGCGGCAACCTGCGGCTTACAGGTGCAAATTTATTTTTAAACATATCCCCTAATAGCACTGCAAGACCTCGCTCAAACAATGAAGTTCTCCCTTTATCATTAACTTTGCTGGCATTGAGCAGATATAAAATAATCAGAAAATGGGGAAAAGCATAAGATCATTATTACATTAATATTTACATAAATATTGCTTGTGTTTACCTGTGTTTTTTTTTAATGTCAGCAAAAATCTGAATATTCTCTGCTCCAATTAGTTTTCTGTATCGTAGCAGGTTACCTGCACAGGCATTTATGATCCCTTCATCAGCAACATGAGAAAACACAAAACCTTCAACTCGAATAAAATCAAGACCTGATAAAAGAAAAGAAAAAATTAGCATTCTCTTAACTAGACCTGAAGCCTGAAGAACTAATACTAAAATATCTGTCCCTCATTTGACCTCCACACAAGACATTCCATGTTCTCTGAGACTAATCAACCTTGATTTCTCACATTTTTAAACTTTTGTACCCATGGGCACAGACTCAGCAACAGCACACCCTGCCCTCCTGCTTGCTGTGATGTGCCAGTAGGCAAGTATGAATGAAGGATAGGTAGGCCAAAACGTAGCTCCTATCCTCTAACGATGCGGCTTCTCTCCAAAAAGGGCATTATCTTGGGTTTTGCCCCTCTGTTAGATACCCCATCACTGTATTACTGCCTTCCCAACATCTGTTCCACTGTTAAATATGCCTGAAATTGGACAACAGGTCAAAAAGCAACCAGGACATGGACAAAGAGAGGAGAATAGCCTATGTCTTCCTTCTTCAGGAAATTAGGCAGGAAAACACAGCCTGCAATACATTATATACACTGACTCTCCACCTGAATGCAACTTACATCTTCTGAACAGTACCACATCAACGACTGACCTTTGGAGCTGGGCCAAAGATACAGAAAGATTAAGTTTCCACTCCAAATTTACGGTGAGCATCAACTCTACCTCGTCTCAGCAACTCAGTGTCCAGCAGTCGTTCATCTTTTGTATCAGGAAGCTTTTGGGCGATGGGTACTTCAAAGGAAGACTGAGAACAGAAATGATTTCGATGGACCATTTATCTACTATAAGGTACCCCTATACAGCCTTGAAATACCTTTATGTTGACATACTGATGTCTTCAGCCATAGCATAATTAATCCACAGCTGTTTTGCAAAAGATGACAATTCTGACTCCTTTATTGTATCCCTTTCCTCTCCAGTCTTCCACAGCCTTGAAGCTCACTTCACACACACTTTAGGATGTGAAAACGCTCTGCAAACACCTTGTGCAGCTTTTTCTATTCTTCCAGTTTGCTTTAGAGCTCCCTTCCAGGCTCTCTGAAGTTCTATTGCTTCTCCAGCTTTGAGTCAGCTGCACATTTAAGTGGAGTGGAAACATCGAGGAACTAAATGCATGTGAGAGCAGCGTTCAGGGATGCAATTCCATCTAACAGAGAACTATTTAGGCAAGGAAGGCCTCACCTTAACACATTGCAGACGTAAACAGAAAGGGTTTTTAAAAATGTATTTACCAAATGACAAGGTTCCTGTTTATTTTAAGAGCTAGATTTCAGTTTCATTCCAAAAGCCCCGAAGTTGCAGAAACAAAAGGTTATGCCTGATGGAAAAGAGCCTGTATTGCTTAGCAACACAGACTGCAGCTAACATGATACATCACAGATGGTGCCAACTCAAATATAAGCTGTCCTATGCCTTGAGATTAGCAGGTGAGAAAGCATGGAGTATTCTCAGGATTTAAAGACACAAATATGTCACAAGTATAATTAAAGGTGCTAGTAGGTAAGACTGAGACTTGTGCATCTAGGAATATTAGCCATAGGCTTTATCAAATCTAAGTTTGTAAATACTATCTAAATACTAAGTTTGTAGTATAAATCAGACTTAAATAAGAAAAACAATAATTCTCCTCTAATCACAAGACTATCAAGCACCCTAGAAATCTAATAAATGTTCATAGCAATCCTACTGGCTACCTCAGGACAAGGGCTATTCACCTACTGAAGCTCACCACTTGCATGTTTACCGATGTTTGGTTTGTACTTCCCTAACTTAAGAATTCAAGACTTCCTCGACCAACATCAGGATTGTTCTTAGTTTAACAGAGTTGCACACTATTGGAGTTTTTGGAGGATAACAAGATACTATTTTTAACCAATTCTAGCAGACACCAACTCATTACCTGCCTGTTTTATGAAGACCTAATTGGATTCCATTAATGAATTCACTAAAACTGTGAAAATGGTATTATTTCTTATTTTCCCATTAAGTAAGTCAAAAAGGAATACCTGCTAAATAGTTAAAAGGCAGTCTCATTTCTGACTTACACGGGAACAAAAAAAAAATATCATGTAATTTCACTAAAAAACAGGTACAGGAAATTTCCAATAGGACCTACCAAACAGAGCTTCAAGATTAAATTGAGAAGCAGCTCATTCCACAAGCAAGAGTTCCAGGCCTGGAAAAAGCAGTGTCTCCAACAGTGCTTTCAGCACATATTTCTCATCTCATCTCTGCAAAAGTTCCAGTGCTTGCTGCCTTGTCCTGCAGCACCCGCAGGTGTCCCCCAAATAAGCACTCACCTGCTGAACTTCAGTTTAGCCGTATTAGAATGGCATTAGTTGAAAAAAATATGTAACTAAAAATCAGCATATTTTTCCAGCCAATTCTATCCTATTTTAAACAGTATCACTGGCCACACCTTCCTGCGGAGCATCTCTGCTGGTGGGTGGCTGCAAGAGAAGAGCTGTCTCAGACAGCAAAGCTGTATTTATAAAAGACCTGGAGATATCTGGTACCTGGAATGTCTTCTGATATGAAGCCTTGTTTAATCAGCTACCAACTGAGTCATTATCATTACTGAAGACTAATTAAGAAACAGTGACCGCGTGGGATTTCAGTAAAAGGATCCTTAAAGAAAAAGGGTATTTTCACAGTCAGCTGGAGATGGCAGGAGATAAACTGTTAGAAATTGAGTTCTCATTCATGAAGTGTAATACTGGCTGATGCAGGTACATGGACACTACTGCACTGTATAGTAGCCCCTGCAGGCCGTGTCTGTCTCCATTAGCTTAATGATGGGCCAGTTGCTTCTTTCAATCACTACCTGTACATGTTCGTAATGGAAGCACACAGAGTTGCAAAAGAATATAGAGACTGTTATTGGTGTATACCCCTAGTATTGTAAAGGCTCCGTAGCTCCTCTGCGAAGACATACACTGATGGATTGGAGCCATGCATGGTCTCCCTAATGCAAGGAAAACGGCAGATAGCAGCTGAGGGCCTTTGGATGATTCCTTTAGACACAACAGTCCTCTCTAAGATGACTACTGCTTCATAATTAACAAACTTTCGATAAAAGAAAAGCCATGTAGTGTGGAAGTAGGTCAACAACAGAGCATGAGGACATGAAATTCAGTAGACAGCCCAAGCATAAACAGTGGTTTACTTCAGAAAACAAGACACACTGATAAATAAGTAAGGGAAACCTAATAAGATGTCCAGATCTGACCCGGGCTTAGTGAACATTCCTGAGCACTGAACAATGATAACCAGTAACGTTTGCTAAACAAAAACGAGTAAGGGAGCATTTCTATCTCTTCTACAATTGCTCGCAGGATCTGTTTGGATACATCATTCTTTTTCAACCTGAAGCAGATGTAGTAATTAAATAAGAAACTACAAACAGGAAATAATGTGCTTCTATAAACCACACAGTACACCTGTAAATAATGTACTGATTGAAAGCAGTAACCCTACCACACAAATTCTGCTTTCTGTACAGTCTTTGGAGGATGCCATTAGAAGCAGCTATTAAGGTGGTGCACTTTCCCAAAAATAAGTGCTTGAGATTAAGATTAAAAAAAAAACAAACACAAAAACTCAGCCTTCTCATCCCCCGATTTTATTATTGTATAAGTCTGATAACAGTACCATATCAATACATTGGGAAAATTTAGTATTTTAATCTGTTACTATAAAACATACTTATCAGCACAAACACACATTGCTGAGGAGTTCCTTTCAGTCACACCATAAAATTGCTGACTTCTTCCCCCTCTCTTTACAATATAAAATCTTTACCTACACTTGAAGACCACTTACGGTTTCCCTGTGCAGTTCTCTTCTGAAGTTATTTCTACCAGAGACAGGAGTTTCCACAGAGAAAATGGAACGACTGCATAGTAGCAGAAAATACTCCGTATGCTTTTAAGTGTAACACATTCAGCAAATATTTTGTAGTTGAAGCATATGAGGATTCCTTAATTAATAGCTATCTTTAATGACAACTAAAATGGCATTCATATTAAAGTCACTACTAGGTTGCTACTGAAAAACTATTAAAAGATTTTCTACCTACAGAGTCAGTCCCTTTACTATTGCTTTGCCTAAAGTGATTTTCTTTTCTTTTTGCTTTCCTGCTCAGTGAGCCTGAGAATCATTTTTAGAGAAGTGCAATGAAATGCATTAAACACAGCCTTTTCCTAGCTGCTGTCCTCCAGTTACAGAGCAAATAGTGCAGAACAGCAGAAGAGCAGAGCAAAACCCAAGCCCTTCAGGAATTCTCTCACTCATTAATAATTGCTGAGGAGTAAGAGAAACTCATTGCTCTTGCATTACATCCCATATACAGTGATCAATTTCACTCCTAAAAGGAAGCATAGCTATTACTTTTAAAAGTAAGGTGTGTAAATACAATGCATCTCAAGTATCCTACATGCATACAACCCCTGAAAACAAAAGCAAAACTGGGTTCTGTCATCTTTTTTGGCTTAATTTTTCACATAGTCTCCACAGCAGAAATAGCGTGCTGTGATGGTTTGCCAAGCAGCCTTCAAGTATACCTTGAAAGTGTCAGCTTCTGATTCTAAGGCACTCAAACCAAATCCATGTGCAAAACGTATCAACAAACAGAAATTCCCCCAAGAAAAATGAGTGTTACTCAATGTTATTTTAACTGAATTTGTTCCATATAGCACAAGCATCTTTTGATTTTTCATTCTTACAGAACTTTGCCTATTTAGAAAACCTGTGAAATTTACAAAGTGTCCAACTCACTACAGTTGCATTTGCAATTTGAGTAAACATAGACTCTCAATTTCTGAAGGATTTGGGAAGTACGAGCGTTCCCTATAAAATCAGTCTCTATCTTTTGATCAGGGAGTGAAAACTAAAATTGTTCCAGCAAAGCTTAGAAACTGAAGGGTTAGCAAATCTAGTATTCTTGCAGTAATGACAAATTAATTTGTACTTAATTTCCCTGCATGCAATTTAATGTTCAGTAGTTTGGGTAGCTATGCACTTAAAAAAATTAACAGAAAGCTTCATTCCATTCATTCATAAAAAAAAGGCAATGAAAACTTAGTTTTAATAGAAACCAGTAGTAGCAACAACATATAATTAGATGCTGAAAAGGATGCTTAACCACAGCGGGTTAAATTAATCTTCAAATATCGTTTAACCGAAGTAAATAGAGTTACACCAAAGGTGGCTCTTAGACATGAGTAGGTTTAAACTAATCATTACAGTTAGACAGGTTTCACCTAGAAAGCAGCGCCAGTGGCCTTGGGATTTTTAAGCTGCCTCCTACTGAAGCACCGTGCGAGTATCATCTATTATAATCAAGCAGGCATCTTTCTCAAAATCTAATTTCTGTTTTTTCAGGGTACAGTGAGCTTTTCATGTCTCATTTTTCATGGTATCTATGTTAGTACAATGCCCAATTTGCAGAGAGTAAATGCCACGGCAAACAGCAGTAATAACGGAGGAGTCATTTCTATTACCTGCCGCGAGAGCCACGGCCGTGGCCTGCTGGTTGGCGGCACACAGCACCTGGACGCCCAAGGCGAGGTGTGGGCAGAGCCGCCGCACCGCTGTGCCCACTGCCGTCATGGCGGCCGTCACCTCAGGCCCAGGGCACAGCGTGTAGGGCCGGTCGTGCATGTTCTCCACTATCAAGCCATCCTGCAGACATCAGAATAAGGAAGTTTACTGCGGTGCTAAGCTTTGTGTTGAAAGACACAGAAGTTTAAAGGTTTTCCTTCAAAGGGCGGATTATCTCCAGTAAATTGTGTCGATGCATATAGCCACTTATAAAAGTGCTTTCATCAACAGCACGGCATTTGCACAGAAATCAGGAAGAGAAATAAATGCGATTTTAATTATACATTCATCAATTAGTTTTCCTTTGATCCATCCCAGGACGTGAACTATAGGCGAATGAGTTAAATCTTACACCTCATTAAAAGTACTGCAGAGTCAAACTTCAATTACCCAAATGGAATATGGGATATTGAGTATGTTTGGATAACTGATGATGTAGAGATAATCAAGGCAATTTTCAATTTGAATTAATGTCAGAAAATAAGTGTTATTTTAGAAAAATAAAGGAGGTTTGTTTGTTTGTTTGCCTATTAACATGCCTGTTCCCAGGGTGACATATTTCTTCCCATTCCAAATTCAGACTGCTTTGAAGAAAGCTATTGCTATTTATTGTCAACTATACCTCTCCCTCCACAAGAACATACATTTAGCAAACAATGGAGTGACAATGAAATACTCTACTGATAGACTACTGATAGAGTGGATGCAATTTATTGAAAATCTTTGTACATCATCTGGTGCCTTGGACATTTTCAATGGTGATTTGGTATATACTAAAACTTCTCAACAATTGCAAATCATATAATTACATTGAGGACTAACACAAAAGTAAAAGTACAGCCCTGAAACATATTTCAAGCCTGACATTTTGCATTTGCAGTGGGAACTTTCTATGAGGCTAGACATTTCTCACCTGCTTCAGTTGAAAAATACAAAAAGGTTATAAGACAAATTAATTGTATGTAAAGAAAACAAATTCTATTTTCTCTCAACTTCAAACACACATCAAAATCCTTAAAATGAGAGCTGTGCATTTCAAAGGCAGTCTAACATTCAGAATAGAAAGAACATTTTAAAAGAAATTAGAAGAAATCCATTACAAGGAGATGATTTTTTTTTTTTTTTAAGTAATCAATAACAGAGAATCAGGAAGATGGGGAGAAAAAGGTTTTCTTTAAAAAATTCGTAGATGAAATGCTCCTTTGAGCTTTGTTGTAGTACAGATGCTCTTTTGGGCATCTTTCCTTTTTAAAGTGTACAAAAAGCAGTCACCATTTAACGGCCAAATTACATGCCACAGGCATCATAAATGAACCCCCAACATGGAAGATGGGGGAGAGGAAACAGACTGTCAGTAATCTGTCAGAAGAGTACAGCCAATCCAGTTACATGAGGGATGCACACTGGGTGTACCTGGGCACAACTGCCTTCACCAAATAACCAGTAGATAAGCATTTAAATACACAAAATATGTGCTACCTTAAAAACAAATGGACACAGTTTATTAATGGGAAATGTGATCTAACATTATGAGCACCTAACATGAGAGCTACATATTATTTCATGCCACTCATCAGCATATCTTAATATAAAATTTCAGTCCAAGAAACCTCAAGTGGGCAGAGGATATTACATAGAATCATAGAATCATAGAATCATAGAATCACCAAGGTTGGAAAAGACCTAAAAGATCATCCAGTCCAACTGTTCACCTATTCCCAATAGCTCCCACTAAACCATGTCCCTCAACACAACATCCAGCCTTTCCTTGAACACCCCCAGGCTCGGTGATTCCACCACCTCCCTGGGCATCCATTCCAGTGCCTGACCACCCTTTCTGAAAAGTAATACTTCCTCATGTCCAGCCTGAATCTCCCCTGCCGTAGCTTGAAGCCATTCCCTCTGGTCCTATCACTAATGACACGAGAGAAGAGGCCGACCCCCAGCTCACTACAACCTCCCTTCAGGAAGTTACAGAGAGCAATGAGGTCTCCCCTGAGCCTCCTCTCCTCCAGGCTGAACATTCCCAGCTCCTTCAGCCTCTCCTCATATGGCCTGTGTTCCAGACCCCTCACCAGCTTTGTTGCCCTTCTTTGAACACGTTCCAGGGCCTCAATATCTTTCTTGCAGTGAGGGGCCCAAAACTGGACACAGTACTCGAGGTGCGGCCTCACGAGTGCTGAATACAGGGGAACAATCACTTCTCTGCTCCTGCTTGCAACGCTGTTTCTGATGCAAGCCAGGATGCCATTGGCCTTCTTGGCCACCTGGGCACACTGTCGGCTCATGAGGAGCAGCCAGGAGAGCACCAGGCCTCCTGGCAGAGCAGAAGCTGTCGTGCCAGGAACACAGCTCCTGGAAAAGGCCATGGGGTGCTCCTGACCAAGCAGGGAACACAGTGGCAGAATCCCATGGCAGCATCACAGCAACACTGAGCTTTCCATGAATTGTTGCTGATTCAACAGCTCAGCATTTGCATAAAGCAAATTATTCCATTATATTAAAAAATACAATTATTTTAAAAGTAATTAGGGACTCTAGCCATATTACTGTACATAAGACAAGCATCTGATTGAATTCCTGTTCAACGTGCAGGAGGATTCCAGCATTTTTCTCTTCAACCTTATATTTATTCACTTTTCAATAGCTCTCTTCTCATAGCCTCAAGGTCCACAGTTCCTGTGACTATTTTTGGTATTACTTTAATAATGTGTTATTCTTTTAGTACCATCTAATAGACCTTGTTCCTTTGCACATTATGTTTTGTTTAATTAAAAAAAAAAAAAAGAACAACATATGTTCTGTAATACAGAGAGCTGAATTACAGATGCGTTAACTCAAAGCTTTCTTTCATATTTTTGTATAAAAATGTAACACCACAGATTCTGGTGTTTACTGAATTTATATGTATATAAAACAGACTTCAGTACTATCAGACAGTTAATTAAAATGGTGGAAAGAAAACAGTGATGCTGGATTCAAGATCTTGGCACTTAAGCTAATAGTGTTTAAGCCTAGGAGAACAGCAACCGAACTACATGCTCCAAAGTGGAATCTCTTTGGAACATGGGAGATAAGGCACCAGCAAAATCTTCTGGGTTTCTTTTCCATTGATTATCAGAACAATTGAAGTGATACTTTTATATAAAGTAGCCCTACTTTTAACAGTCCTCAAACACTATAGAAGTGAAAAGGTAATAGACTGCTATCTATCTGCAAAGCACCCTTGTAACATAGCTAGCTATTGGAAAACAAGTCATTTAAATAGCCCCTTGCCTACACAGAAAAACTATTTATGTACGTATGTATGGGAACTGTTGAGACACGGCCTGAATCACTGATTGAGCATCTGGAGATGAGACCCTGTCAGCCCGGGGAGCACAAGTGAAGGCAATTCAGCTGTGTGACTGGAAGAGGTGGAGCCTGGCTGCACCACTCTTAGACCTCATTTAAGGGCTGACTGCCACTGGGGACAATTTTCGTGTTGGAGATCCCTCCTCTGTGGAGTTTGTACTGCAAGCTTAGATCCTCAAAGGCAGGTGAGCACTTCTGTCTTTTGTAGTATTGCACCAATCCTTTGCTGCTGCATCTTTATAACATCTTTCCATCATGCTGGTCCCTCTACTGTTACATTTGGCAAGCCAGTCAGATTAAAATATTTGAAATAGCTGTTCTACTGAATATCTTTAAGTGGGTTACAGGGGAGAATTCTGCCCTATAGACAGAACTCTGCCAGGGCATATTTCAGGATTTTTAGGATATGTGTATTATGGACTTTCAACTTCAGTTGAAAAATGGGGTCCCCTGTGGGATACTGGGAATATCTTTCAATCCCCATCCTGCATGGCAGAATATTTCAAGACATCCTAGTCACAAAACAGTGAAGCAGGCACATACCATCAAGGCACTCATCAAGTTGATGGCTGCCTACAGGACATCTCAAATCATCAAGAGTGACCAAGGAACTCATTTTTCTGGTACAACAATACAGTGCTGGACAGAAGAAAACAGTGACTGGCAATTCCATCTGCCACATAACCTGATGGGGGCAGGCCTTATTGAACACCATAATGGTATTCTTAAGGCTACCCTGAAGACAGACTCTCCACTCTTGCAGGCATGGCCAAAGTGACTCTATGAAACCCTGTAGAGCTGAATGAAAGGCTTAATGATGGCAGACCTGGTGCCCTAAAGATGCTACAGACAACATGGGCCTCCCAGGTACAGGCACCAATCATTGGGTAAGACTCAAAATTGGCAGTGAAAATAATCTTCTGCTCCCTGGCCCTGAGAACCTAGAAACTGGCACCTGTAAAGTAGAATGACCTTGGAAGCTGCAAGTAGGATCAAAATGGTGTGGTGTACTTTCACCTTGGGGGAGATCATTGGACACTGGGGGATCGGTAGTTCCTCTCCCCCCCCCCCCCCCCCCCACGTAATAGGTACATGGCCTGCAGACATTATAGTCAACACTCTGGTTTTCATTGCTAAAGGGAGCTTAATCACATCCCTGTGGCAAATCCAGACTCCCCCTTTGGAACCTGATATAGGTATGCAGCCTCAGATATTGGGCCAAAGGGTGTGGTACAGACTGCAGGGACATGACCTGGTGCAAGCTGAAGTGTTGAACCAGAACAGGAACATGTCCTGTATCTTGCCATGAAAGGTGGACCTTCCCCTTCTGGTAACTCCAAAACATCTATACTACTCCCCACGAATCTCTTTGAGTCCGCAGGATCACCAGAAAAGCAAGCAATGTGACATCAAGATGCTCTGGTGTCACTGTAAGATCAGCATGACACCTGGTGGTGGGCCACGTGGGGCTGATGGAATGTGAGCCAAACCTTTCCTGGTCCACTGTATGCCTCCAGTGAACCCATTGAGCACTGGCCCATGAAAGAACATGAACTTTAATCACAAACTGATCATCAACCATCTTACGTTGTATCAACCTGCATCACGATAGGCAATTGTATGAGTGCTGTGGTGTGTTAGAGCCTTGTATTGGGGAAGGCTCACCCTCCAGCTGATCCAATCATTGGTTCATGCTGTGAAGGGGTGGCGTATGTAGAGACTGTTGTGTCATGGTCTGAACCACTGATTGAGCACCTGGAGACAAGACCCAGTCAGCCTTGGGAGCACAGGTGAAGGCAATTCAGTTGTGTGACTGGAGGGAGTGGAGTCTGGCTGCACCTCTCTTAGACCTCATTGAAGGGCTGACTGCCACTGGGGAAGGATCTCTTGGTGGAGATTCCTTCTCTGTGGAGTTCCTACTGTGAATCTAGATACTAGGAGACAGGTGAGCACTCGTCTTTCTTTTGTAACATCTCCCCACTGTGTTATGTTGTTACAATAAATATATGTTATATAAAATAGAAAAGCTATTTTCTTTATTCTATCTACAGAAGTGATCACTTAAAAAACCTTGACCTCCTATCTGATATAACTTCTTGCTATGGTAACTTTAACCCTGATGCTCTGCATAACAGAGGCTTTACCCACAGCTGCTTATGTGTTACTTTAATTTTTGCAAGTGCAAAACAACTGTTGCTTCCTACAGAAAGAAAGGCTTTTTGCATCATGCTCATTGCTGATAAACTTGGTGTGCACTGAGAACTACAGTTCCTCCTGCCACCAGAGTCATATACCTCTATATGAAGGAAATCAGCTTTGCAAAGCATTTATTTGCTGTACTTAGACAATCACTATAAAAACTTCACTTCTAGAACAAGAGATTGCTACTTCAACTTAGGTAAGTAGGCAACTTTTCTTCTGTATAAATAACAAGAGATATTTGTGGTGAGGCTTGCCTGCTATTTTACTCTACTGCTAACATCTGTACCTCCGTAATCCAAATGATAGCACGTCTCTATAGCAGAAATGATAGCTTATTTCAACTACTAGTAAATACCAAATAGCCTTAACTTCATTACTCTTATAATTACAGTGGTAGTTTGGCTTGGAACTGCTCACTTTTTAATACCTTATTACAGACCAGATACTGAGCATCACTTTGCAGGTACATAGGCAAAAGAAGAATCAGGAAGATCAGAATGACTGTATCTCCAGGAATCTCTCTAGTAGACTGTATCTACTAGAAAAAAAGAAGCAAGCCTACTAAAAAACTTGTAATATTTGAAATGCAGTGCAACATTATGTAAATAATGTATTTCTTAAAGAAAAAATACAACTCATCACTGTTATCTGCTCACGTAGTTACAATTAAATAGCATGTAGTAAAATGAGTTACATCAGTGAAACTGGAAGGAATTTGTGCTCTGTTTTCCAGCTACAAAGCAAAATTTACTTAGATTCACTTGCAGGAGTGAAAGTTAACTTCACTGCATATTTTGCAAGTGCTTTTTGCTTAAACAAAAGCAGATAAAAATTGGAAGGACCACGATGCCTCATAGATCGCTGCTTATAAAAATCTTGCCTAGGGAATGTCATTGTTTAGCAATACAAGTATAAAGCATATACATTTTTAGCACAGATGGTTTCCTAGCTGAGCTCTCGCTTGTTTTCATTACTGTGCTCTAATACCACAAATCTTTCATGTTTATTATGTTCAGCTGCTAATATGCCAGCCCAGTCACCTTTTTCCTGAACAAACTAGGATTTACTTCCAAGTGCAATGCATACTGAGTGAGCAAGCCTATACAGTATATTTCCAAATGTTAATGCCAGCTCAAGCAACTTGAGGCAACATGTGAACATCTAGCAGCAGCAACATAGTTATGAATCTTCCAGAGGCTACCACAGGTGCTTAGAAATAATGCCAGAAACATCCACAGAAAAAAAACCCTCACATTTCTAGTTCTGTGGGAAAAAAATGGACAGTTTCACAGTTCAGCCTGAGTAGTAGGAGGGAAATCAGATACTCCCATTGCAGAACCAGGAAAGCCAGTCTGGAAGAGAGGTGATCTCTGTGTAGAAACCACAAAGCTCTTCAGTACCTACTGTCAAAATTCACGCTTCTCTTAAAGTGCTGGAAAAAACTACATAAATGAATTACAGAAAATGTTTGGCAACCACAGGGATATTTGTGAAAGCTCTCCTGTTTATCTTGACCTTTATGTATTAACAAAGGATTTATTTTTCCTACTGATGTAACACTATCATGTATGGATCTTTAGAATGGAGACTGGCTTGGTCTGTATGCTTATGTCATTACAGTTTAGAGAGGCAATGTAGTTATACCCTGAATTTGTTCAAATTAGTAGAAATGACTGCATTCACCTCACATCTGCCTACCTAAGAGGTGGCTTTAAAAATACGAGCTGAGTAACTGCAATACAGCAAGAAAAGAGGTGAAGCTGGAAGCGTGAATTTATACATCAGTTGAGAAGACAGCAAGGTTTATACTAACCCAAATTAGAATTTTGTGGAAGCACTGATTTTAAAGTTTGTCTTGAGACCTTGTCCATGTCAGCAGCGAAAGTGATCACTTCTATCTTCTCCCTCACATTTAGGTATATTTAGTGTTTCCTCTCTGCTGCTAAGGTATCAGTGTATGGTTAGTATATAAGGGAAACAAATAAGTACTGAAATGTGGGCAATGGCTCTAGGGCTGCACATCACCTGTGTAACTGTTTCCACACAGGAAGACTAGTCCTTGCTGTTCTTCTGATGTAGACCAAATCACATTCAACCTCACGTTGATGTCATGAAGGCAAGACAGAATGTATCAGTACAGAAGGCAGAGCAATTGCACTCTTCCCTTCCAACAAGTACGAAAAGGGAGAAAACTGACTTATTTTGTCCAGCTTGCAGTTAGACTATTCTAGCTGGTATATGTCTTGCACATTGTCAGCTTGTTCACTGGCAATGGAGCCCATCAATGAGCTCTGTTCTTCTGCACTGCTGTTTACCCTTTCAACAGCTGTTCCCAGGGCTTTCCCAACTTAGTGGTTTTCCTAACCACTGCTCTGTCCACAGCCTCCATCATGTGACTTGTCTTGCATTTTGAACTTGGTCTTCTATAATTTAGACTAAGCTCTTAGGTTCCATTTCATTCTATCTGTAAAGTATCATTGTAATTTATGCTGCTGAAGTATAACCCAGTGGAAATCTACTCAAAGTTTAGCAGAAAATTGCAGCTCAGAGCTACAGTGGCAGTTCATCAGTAGCCTTCTCTTGCCTCTGGCTGAGAATATTCAAAGCAGGTATGGCTGCTCCCATAGCCTAGGATGCAAGGATTACAGTGGGCAGAAAAGGACCCAAGATAATTTTTTGGTCCTCAAATGCTACTGTAGTACAAACACAAACTGTGGGGGAATCCTGCAGCCTGTAAGCAAGCAGTGCCTATGCCTGTGCCGTGACTTTATGAAAGCAGTGTGCCAAGCAGAGCTAAGGAAAGCAGCTTGTCAGACTAGATGATGAAGCATCCTACATCCGGATACCAATAATGCCAGCAACAGTTCATATTGCTGTCAGCTTTCCATCTGTTTTTGTTGTTGTTGACTTGATTCTTGTAAATTGATAGCAATCCTATTTAAACAACTCAAATTGCACAGTTTGAATCTAAGCTTTTCCAGTTCTGCAGGATGTGTGTGATGTTTAATTCGGGTTTTGAAACTTTGAGGCCTACTTGTGTTGAAATAAAAAACGCAGGTTTAAATGGCTCCCCAAACTCAGTGGTTTCAGGTACTTTTCATGAATTCTAGGTCACTCAGACTCAATTCAAACCACTGGGTACGCAGAAGCAGCTTTGTGTTAATACTGCCATGGGAAGAGGGAAGCCAGGACTTACAACTCCAGCGTCTTTGTATACTTCTGCTTCTTGACAAGCTTGATCGATGATTTGTGCCAAGGGAAGAGAACTTCTCGGTGTCCCTGCAACAACAGTGCCATTTACGCCAGTGCAAAGGCAAACCATACAGATGGTAACGGTTTTCTGGTAAGGCAGCTTACCCTAATGCATTGACATAATAAAATGGGGAAAAAATACGGGGCAAAACACCTAAAAGGCTGCTGCACCTCCTTGAGATGCACCCCAGCGGCACCTCTTCCCTTTCCTGAACTGTACAGGTCAGCCGTGACTGCTCACTCGTGAAGTCATTCGCAGACTCGAGGGATACCTATGCGATGTCGTACCGGGACAGCTTTCCGGCCGGCACACAGCCCCGGGGACAACTCGGCCCCGGCTCAGCGGAGCGCCAGCCGGGCGCAATGCCGCAGGGAGCCACGTGTCCGAGCTCCCGCAGTCGCGGGGCCCGTGCAGCTCCGCCCCGCCGGCGCGGCCCGGCCCAGCTCGGCAGCCCTCAGCCCGCTCGGCGCTTCCCCGGCTCGCGGGGCCCTCCTCTGGCCCCCCGCGGCCGGGCCGCCCGCCGTACGAGCGGGTCCCGCGGCGCCGCGTCTCACCCGGCCCGCGCTCACCTGGCAGCGCGCCCACGTGCACCACGCCGAGCACCGCCGCCCGGAGCCGCCCGAAGAGCCGCGGCCGCGCCATGGCGGACTGTGGTGGCGGGCCCGCCCCCTGACCTCCCGCGGGGGCGCGCCGGGGCCGTCCCGCTCTCCTTTCCTCTCCCGTCGGCGCGCCGCTCACCTCGCTTCACCCCTCCGCCGCGGGGTCGCGCCCGGGGCCGCCCGCTCCCCTCCCGCCCCCCCGCGTCGCTCCGCTTCCGCCCGGTGCCGCCGGCCCCGCCCCGCCCCGCGGCGTCGTGGTGCTAT